GAGGTAGCTCAAGTGGCAATCGGGTTTAGGACCATTGGAAATTGTCAAAACAATAATTTTCTCTCACTCCTCCCATTATTCTCTCATTAGTTTAATGAAACTCACGTCCATTTTGGTAATTTTATAATCTAAACTTATCTTCATTTAATCATAATCTAAATAACCTTTTATCCAATCTAACTTTTACAAATTAACTTTTGTAAAATCCAATCCAAATACAATTCATATTATCTAATTTAACTTTTACCTAATTTAATTTTTTTAAAAGTCAGATTGCAAATAAGTTGTTTTTCTTTTATCTCTAATCCAAACAGACCCTAAGTCGGTTAGTGGAAATGAGATATAGATTGACAGCTGGCTATATAGAGCTGATGAATAAGGATTGTACTTATTGAATCAGAACATTGAACCATGAAAGAACAGACATTTCACTTCCACTGTTCCACAGGTTCTGCCTCCATATTCGTACGGTCAAACATTGCAAATGAAAGAGATATGAAGCACTACATAATTTTGGTTGAAAACACGTACGTCATTATCCCGAGAACATATATATTTAGCATACTGATGATGAAGATCACATCAACCAACAACTTCTTCTATCCAACTGCCATTGTACATTAGCCATTGGTCTATACTTTCCAAAACATTTCCCCACGACAACTTCTTCTTCCCACTTCTATCTTCTTCGCTCCCAACATCAATCCTTTCTCTCCTTCACATTTGATCCCAAACCCCATCAATATCACTTGTATTTCAAGGCTCTTGGAGTCTCTGGGAATTAGATGAACAACAACGTACAAGCAGTATAAACCATGTCGTTCTTTAAGTTCGATGCTTCTGATCTTATCTTTGGAATTGAAATAAGGTAACTCACAGTCTAGACAACAAACGCACAAGCACATAAAATGTGTTATGCTTGTGACTTACATATATATATAACAGAGCCAAGGGATTAAAAAAAAAAAGATCAAAACACAAACGCTTGAGGTAAGGAGGTAAGATCTTCACCTGCAGGAAAGGAGATCCAGCTGACTCTAGTCTTTCTGGATCTCAAACTGAATCTAATAATCAAAGTAAGTGAAAAGTACCTCAACTTGCTTCAACATGATAGCCAAATGGAGAATGCATGTTGTTGCCATCCGAGTCTCCCTCAGTGAGCAGCTTATTGGTGTCATGTGACCTTGTGCAGCAGCCAAGTGAAGAGGTGTGCTTCAAAATGAGTCCAACTCAAGGGCAAGCTGGGAACAGTGAGCAAGAAGGGTTTTGGAACATTCAAGGTGGCCGAGTCAGGCTTATATTTGTAAGGGAGTTTCAAGCAGGGTTCTTCGTGAGCATAGTATGTGCAAGATCAATGAGTCTTGCTGAAGTAGGGTTTTCAAAGTTGAATCAGAGCCATTTTGTGATGCATCGTATAGATCCCTCGTTCTCTTTTCTTCACTGTTATCAGCTATTGCTATTTCCATTTTCGGTTGTTGGCGTGGCTGTGTGCATTTGCTTGTTAACTATTTATAGACCAACCACTAGCTGCCAAACCAATGCTCAACAAAACCTTCTTGTCCTTATCAACAGAAAACCAATACAAATTGTTAAAAGTATTAATCAATAGTCTGCAAATTAGTGCATGAGTTTAGTTGATAAGATATGATTTTGTTTCAGAAAACCCAGAACAAGAGATTCCGCATGCCCTCCTCATAAATTGGGCATGCTTGTCCCCTAAACAGTAGCGTTTGGGATGAGCCAGGAAACCCTTTTTTATTTTCGAAAAAAAGCTTGTGTGCCTTTTATTAATTTCTTTTATGTGGGTTAAGTTGTATTCATCAATATTCTAAATTTTTTTTTTAGCAACACTCAATATTCTAAAAATTAATCTTGGTGCAGTTTAAGCTTAGGATACCGGGTGCTATTAGAAAAATATTTTAAGGTGTTTGTTGCATAAAAAATTGATTTAGGATGCTAAGTGCTACTGAGAAAATAATTGAGTATGCTGGATACATCAAAAATTAATTAATTAAAGATACTAAGTAATACTAAACAATATTTTATTATATTAGGTGCTATTAAGAAAATAATTTAGGGTGCTAAATGCAACTTAATCCAAATAAGTAAGAAAAATTAAAAATTAATAAAAAGTTCAAAACATTAAAGGTTCAAATTTACTCCAATCTTATTTTTCGTCAGCACCCCAATCTTCCTAATGATATAATTTTACCCATAATCTTTTTTTTTTTAATGTAATTTTACCCATGATCTTATTTTCTTGGTATGATTTTACCCTTAATCTTTGGTACACAAAAAAAAATCATGGCTAAAACCGCACCACTATAAGATCCAGTTTTGTGTGATCAGGGATAAATTTGTACTTAAAAAAAAAAAAAACGAAGTACCTCGGTCATCCCCAAACACTGCCGTTTGGGGGATGAGGACCCCCTGCTCAATGATTCCGCGGGGAGGGAATGTGGATTATCCGAGAAAGAGGACCAAGTTAGTATAGGCAAGCAAGTTTGGACTAATTTCAAAAATTAGGACTGAGTAAGAATTGAGGAGTGAGGAGGGAGAAGGGAAGGTGGGGGAGAGAGAGTAGACCGACGACTGACCTGAGGACAGGGGAGCGAGAGATTGGACTGGAGATAGAGTTCGAATTCGAGGCGATAGCTCTCGATGTCTGGGGGAGGGAGGGTGAAGTTTCTTATATAAGCAGGTTTATTGAACATTTATGCAGTTGATTGGACTCTGGACTGTTTATTCAAAAAGGAAATTTATTTTAAAGGTATAATTGTCAGACATGACTTAAAACAGTTACGATAGGTGTCATGTTCTGCCTTTAATTTCAGTTTTATTTAAGGGTTAAGGTACAATTTTAACAATCAAGTATTACGCAAATAGCATCTACTAACATTTAGTTTTAGAGGGTGCAAAAGTAACCATAATCAGTTAAAAATAGAGCAATTCCCCTACTCCCGTTAACTGATCCAAATGTTCGTTATTTTTAATTTGGTGGGTCCTACTTTGACATCTACATCATTTATAGTATCTAATGGAAATTCTACAACTACCTTCCGTAGGTCCCATAGATTTTTCTCTTATTTCTCTTTAGCCAAGATCCCCTTCCCTACCACCCATCTCTCTCTCTCTCATCTGTTAACATCATCTTCGACTTCTTTCATTCCCAAGCATGCGGCTGCTAAACAAGGGAAAACAAGGTTCATAATCAAAAGCCATATAATCTTCTATAAATACTAATAACTGCAACCAAAGTACAATGGTCCAGCTATACAGGATAAACAATATAAATCATCACCAACCAGAGTGTTCATGATCATCATGTACCCAAAAAAAAAATCCGTTCATAAACATTAAAAAAATTACTCAATAAGACAGACCATTTTTAACTGAAGCTGAATAATTCCATGAAATGCTTTTTGGGCATTAGAGCTTTGCCATTGATAAACACAAGAAGGATGAAGCCACTCTATCATGACTTAACACGAGCGATACATGGACGGCGAGATCCGCGAAGGACGAGAATGGTAGGCAGCAACACTGTCGAGGATGGGACTGTTGCGGGTATGATTCATACTTCAACCAGTAGGATTATACCAAGAGAGCACCCACTCTAACTAGCTTGGCGACGAGATGGCCGCTGAGATAGAAGATGACCAATGACTCTAAACCACCGAGCAATATATCGTTTGAAGTGGAGCTAGAAAGGGTCTAAGGAATTTTTAATAGAAGGATCAGAAGGAAAAAAACTGAGATCGGTTTGGGAGACTTGGCTAGGGAATGAAGAGTAAAAGCGAGAGATGAGATGGGACTCAGTGAAGGAAACGGTGGGCATGGGAGATGAGAGAGAAAGGGAGCAGGGGGAGAATTGAAAACCAGTGGGACCCACATATAAAAAATAAACAGACGTTTGGTTCTGTTAACTGGAGTGGGAAAATTGCTCCCTTTTTAAATGATCATTGTCACATTTGCACCCTCTAAAACTAAATGGTGCCAGATGCTCTTCACGCAAAACTTGATTGTTAAAATTGTACCTTAACCCTTTATTTAAATAATCCATATGAAATCAAGATAGTTTTAGTAAATATCAGCAAGCACCCACGTGCATATTCCTGTAATAACATACAAGTTGTTACTTGTGTTATTGATTTACAAAAGCAATAAAATATAATCATTGGGAGACGACCCGTCACATGCTTAATAATATGCTTTTTTTTTATCTTTATTAATAACAACATGCTTCCAGAATATATTGAAGCCGGTATTGCTAGGACTACAAAATTTATACTACTCAACAATGATATTGGTCAGGTTAATACTTTACTGGGAAGGCATTATTATTATCATTGTTATTATTACCTTCAGTCATCAATATAAGATCTACTTATTAGCTAATTTAAAAAAAGTAAAAAAATTATTAAATTACTTTAAAATATTTATATTTATCATTTTTCTTCAAATTAATTTTTTTATTTACAAATTGATATATAATCTAATGATACACATAAGTATCTCAGAGAGACCATGTGACATCGGTTATAATTAAGTAATTTAGTAACTTTCTTAATTTCTTCAAATTAATTAACTAGATCTTGTATTGAACTTGCTCCTTTACGAGTCCTCTAGAGATCACATCGATACAACATGATGTGAGACTTCAAATAGGCACTCAACATATCTTTGACAGCTTTCCAGATCTGGGCCGACGTCTTACAATGTAGTAGTTGAGACACGATTTTTGGCACCATTGTGCTTAGCAACCAACTAAAAATGGTCTGATCTATTGCGAGCCAATCATCATAATCAGGATTTGCTTAAGATCCAGAATCATCAGAGATGAACTCTGGTGGGCACACCTTTGTGCCTAACACAAAACCATCCATGCGATGTCCTCATAAGGCAAGTAGAACAAGATAATGCCAAAAAAGAAAGTTGGATCGATCCAACTTGACCGATCCAGATTGATTCAGACTATTGAGTAAGGAAATCGATTTAGTCTAAACAGTGGGAGAAGAAATAGTAACAGTAGGCAGAGATGGAGCTGAAGTGCAGGCAAGAACAGAGGAGCTTGAAAATGCCATGACAAGAAGACGAAAGTGAGGGTCCCGCTGGCTAATCTGAAACCAAGTTGGAGAAAAAGGACGCAATGAATAAATGCTCTCAGTCAAAAAGTTGGTTTGAACTGAGGCAAGTCACTTGTATTTATAATCAGAGATTATGTACATAAGGGTCAAGTGGCCCAGTGCCACATCAGAAAATATTAAAATAGAAAGCACGTGATTTTATACATAAGCATAACTGATTCTACAGCTGTTAAGATAACCTAGAAGCTACTGGAGTTTGCAAGGTATAACAGATTTGGACTATGTGGGCTTAATGGATTTGACCAAGCTACATTGTTTACTAACATCCCCCCTCAAACGAGAGGGTGCTAGAGGCAACCCGAGTTTGTCACGCAACTCCTGAAAGCAAGAGATTGAAGGAGGTTTGGTGAGACAGTCAGTAAGTTGTTTTGATGAGGGAATATATTGAATGGAGAGTTGTTTAGCAAGAACACGATCCCAAATAAAGTGTGTATCAATTTCAATATGCTTTGTGTGAGCGTGAGACAGGATTGGAAGCAATCACAGTAGCACTAATACTGTCACACCAAATAATAGGGGGAGAGGTCCGCGGAATTTGAAGCTCTTGAAGTAACGACTGAATCCACATGATCTTAGCAGTGGTGTTGGCAAGACCACGATTCTCAGATTCTGCAGAAGAGCAAGACACTACTGGCTGCTTCTTTGAAGACCAGGAAACAAAGGAGTCTCTAAAGAAAACAAAGTAGCCACTTGTCAACTATCGATCAGTAGGACAAGATGCCCAGTCTGCATCAGAATACGCAATGAGATTCTTGTGTGAAGATGATTGCAACATAACCCTCAAGAAACTGTTCCTTTTAAGTATCGTAAGAGACGTTTGATAGCTTGCCAATGAAGTTTAGTAGGAGCACTAAGAAACTGACTCAGCTTGCTTACACTAAAACAAATATCTAGCTGTGTGTTGACATGGTACTGTAGTCCACCAACGATACTACGATAAAGTTGTGGGTTATGAAAAGGAGCACTGTCATTGAGAGCAAGAGTTCTTCCTAACACCACAAGAGTAGGATAGGGTGCACCCTGGAGAAAGAATAAAACCACGATCATCTCGATAAATTTCAAATCCAAGAAAGTAATGAATAGGTCTCAAATCTTTCGAAGCAAATATCTTGTCTAGTTTAGTAGTAAAGAGTGATAGGCTGTCAGTATTACTTCCAGTAACAAGAATATCACAACATATATCAACAGAATAACCACTTGTGAGGCATCACGATAAACAAATAGAGAAGAATCAGTCCTGCAGTTTTGAAATCTCCAAGAAAGCAGAGTGATGCGAAGTCGGTCATACCAAGCACAAGGTGCTTGCTTCAAATCATACAAAACTTTAGTCAACTTGCACACATAGTGAGGCCGAGTTTTATTAATGAAGCCTTCAGGTTGATTCATAAATACATTTTCAGATAGGAAGCCATTAAGAAAAGCATTATTAATATCTACTTGTCGTACTTGCCATTTGTAACAAGAAGCAAGACTAAGAACAATATGAACAGTAGACATCGTTGCCATTGGGCCAAAAGTATCACCAAAATCAATACCAGGTTCTTGAAGATAGCCCTTCGCACAAGGCGAGCTTTCAGTTTATCTAGAGTCCTATCAGACCTATACTTCCTTTTGAACACCCATTTATTGCCAACCACATGCTGATTTGAAGTAGGCGGAACAAGCATCCAAGTCTTGTTTCGAACAAGAGCATTATATTCTTGCAACATAGCATTTCACCAACTAGAATCAGATAAAGCAGCAGTGACAAATTTAGGTTCTAGAGAGGAGCTATCATGAACAAGACCAATAAAAGGAGTTTTGGGTTTGAAAATACCTTGTTTTGATCCAGTCACCATAGGATGATGGTTGGTGGAAGGCTGTGTAGGTGGGAAAGAAACTGGAGAAAAGTCAGGAAGAGAAGAAGTAGAAGATGACGAAGTGGGTGAGGAGAAAGAAACAAGAGGTTGAGGGGGTGGTCTAGGAAACATATGGGTTGGGCTTGTAGTTTGAGAAGGTAAAGAAGAGACAATAGGGATGGACTCTTGGGCTCGGTGAGTGAGAATACCAATCCCATCAAGGGAACAGGATGCTGGTATATTAACAGGAATTTGATCAACAGAAGCAAAGATGGGAAAGTCAGATTCATTAAGGATAACATGTCGAGAAATGTAAACTTTACCTGAGGGGCTGAGGCATTTGTAGCCTTTGTGACTGCCACTTGGACCAAGATAAACACATTTTTCAAAGTGAAACTGGAACTTGTGGTTGTTATATGGCCGAAGACAGGGAAAGCAAGCACAGCCAAAAGTCTTCATCATTGTGTAGTCTGATTTTTCTTTGAACAAAGCCTCAAAAGGTGAGGTGTCAATGATGGGAGTAGGCAATCGATTGATTATATATACAACTATAGAAAAAGCTTCCCACCAGAACCGTAAAGGCATCTTTGCTTGAGCCAGCAAACTAAGTCCGATCTCAACTATATGACGATGCTTGTGCTCAACACGGCCATTTTGGGCAGAAGTATGGGGACAAGGATGTCAGAAAATAATCCCTAATTCTGTCAAGATTTTAGTGAATGATTGATATTCACCTCCCCAATCACTCTAAAGTACTTTAATATGCCTGTCAAATTGATTCTGCACCATTTTCTTAAACTGTATAAAAGCTCCTAATGCCTGTATTTTATTACGTAATGGATAAACCAATGCAAAACGACTATGATCATCAAGGAAGCAAATGTAATACTTAAAGCCATTGGTAGATTGAATAGGGGTTGGTCCTCAAAGATCTGTGTGTATCAAATCCAAAGGTGCAAGAACACGAGAATCAAATTTTTGGAATGGTAAATGATGGGACTTGCCATATTGGCAAGCATCACAAAAATTCAATTTATTTTTAGGAGAAATGATTACATTGCAAGTATCCGGTATACTTTTAACAGTGTGAGAAGAAGTATGACCCAATTTCCTATGCCACTGATCTAAAACAAAAAGTAAAATAGTAGCATTGTTCTTGAAGCTAGGACCACGATCCATCTTGTAAAGACCATTAGACTTGTGTCCCTTAAGCAGCACCGGTCGAGTTCTCTTGTCCTTCACAAAGCAATTATTGGAGTCAAATTCAACAACAATGTTGTTATCATCAATCAACTCAGCAACACTGTCTAAGTTCTTTTTAATAGCTGGCACTATCAACACACGACTCATAGAGAGTTTAGAATTACCACAAAGTAGAGAAGCTTGAGCAGAAGATTGAATGTTCAGTTTATGACCATTTCCAACTGAAATGTTACCGTGGTAGAAATACCACGACCATCTTGATGAGTAATGTGATTTGTGGCACCGCTGTCCATATACCAATTTGGATTAGTCACAACTTCAGGTGTGGCAATATAAGTTGAAGGTTCTCTAGAGTTATGAGCGATGTTTCCTCCAAAAAATGATTGATCATATCGATGAAAGCATTATTGAGCCATATGTCCTGGCTTGTAACAGAGTTGACAAGTTGGCTGAGACCTGTTTATGCATCCACGACTATGTCCTCCTCTTTGGCGTGTGTGATTACAGCCACGATTCGGTGGCGAGCTGGCTGTCACTGAAAGTGTGAGGAACCAGAATCATTAGTACTGATAGTAATGTTGGCAAATAAGTTACTTACTGTGTTTACACTATTCAGGTACTCAAGATGTCGTTCAAAAGTAAGAAGCCAAGAGTGAAGCTCAATCCATGTGAGATTGTCCTTGTCAGAGAGAGTAACACCCATCAGAGTATATTCAGCATCGAGACTTACGAGAGTTTGAGTAATCAAATCTTCTTCAGGAATAGGACTCCCGGCCATTGTAAGATTGTCTGCCAGTGACTTTATTTTTTACAGATATTCATCAATTGAACTTGGTCTTTTACGAGTCCTCTGTAGATCACATCAATACAATGCGATGCAAGACTTCAAATAGGCACTCATCAGATCTGTGATAGCTTTTCAGATCTGGACCGACGCCTTACAATGTGGTAGTTGAGAGCGATTTTTGGCGTCATTGTGCTCAACAACCAACTAAAAATGGTCTGATCTGTTGCGAGCCAATCATCATAATTAGGATTTGCTCGAGATCCAGAATCATCAAAGATGAACTTTGGTGGGCACACCTTAGTGCCTAACACAAAACCATCCATGCGATGTCCTCGTAAGGCAGGCAGAACAAGAGAATACCGAAGAAGAAAGTTGGATCGATCCAGCTTGACCGATCCAGATTGATTCAGACTACTGAGTAAGGGAACCGATTTAGTCTGAACAGTGGGAGAAGAAATAGTAACAACGGGTAGAGACAGAGCTGAAGCGGAGGCAAGAATAGGGCAGCTTGAACATGCCATGACAAGAAGACAAAAGTGAAGGTCCCACTGGCTAATCTGATACCAAGTTGGAAGAAAAAGACGAAATGAATAAAGGGGAAATTTCACTGTAGGACCGCAGAAGAGAATTAATCTCAAAGAGCCCCCAAAACTTTCTGAAACCTCACTGCAGGACCAAGGGGCCAATTTGATATTAATTCCACAAATGAAATGACGCCACTGGCCCTAATGAAAACTTATTTCCTCCGAAAATGAGAGATATTATCAGCGGGTGTAAAAGACGGAAGAAAGACGGAAAGGGGTGGAGATGGCGTTATTTCCTGCCTCTCCCATGTAGCGCGCCGGTGCGGAAGGGAGATAGCTAACAACCATGAGCTGAGAAAACATAGTGGCGGAGCTTCACTTTTGCAGTCCGTCCCTCTGCCGTCTTTCAGACTCCAATCTAGAGTTGGTGCAAGAGAGAGAAGTTACAAGTGTGCCCTACAGTGTTGCGTGTTCTCTGGAAGTAGCGTCAGGTTGGCGTGGGAGGTAAGATTTTGTTGTTAAAATTTTAGTTTTGTTGGTGTGATTCGGTTAGCACAGGTGGGTTGTGATGGGTGAATGAGGAAGAAATGAGTATTTAAGTGTATGGGCATGTAGGTTGGGAGTGAGTTGCAAATCTTACGGTTTTATGGTTTAAGAAATTCATGCTGATGTTGTTTTAAGTCGTTAAAGATGTGGTGTTTATGATGTTTTGAAAAGTGGGTGCATATTGAGAATAATGCATTGCTGAAGGAACATAGGTAGGCGAAAAGAAAGGGAAATGGGTGTGTGGGCTGGAATGGGTTATATGACAGGTAGATGCACAGAGGAATGGTGAAAATACATAGTATGATGGTAAATTTGGTAATTCTGGTTGTGTGCGAGAAAAAGCAATATAATGTTGTGAAAATACTAATTCTTGTTGTCAATTGTCAAATTGCTGATGTAAACGTATGTTGTGTCATACTTGAATGATGTACAGCAGCAGAGGATAAATGGCTAGCAGTAGTAGGAAACAAGTATTTTGCATCTTTCATGTTAGAGGGCACTTTGTAAAGACCTTAGAAGGGAAATTCATTTATGAAGGGGGCATCATTACTGGAAGATTGATTAGAGAAGGGATGACATATGAAGAACTACAATGCATGGTAGCTCATGATGTGTGGCCAGGGACTTGTGAATATAAAATGAAGTACACAGTTAGCTTTGACCGGGACACATTCTTGGATCTTGTTGACGATATTGGTGTTGGACAAGTAATTGAGTACAATAATGTTGGAAATTGTGCCCTAGGGGCCAATCATTATGTTTTGAACATTGTTAATTTATAAGTTTATTAATTACGTTATCATATTATTTGCATGTTTACTGTGATAACTATCCTTGGATAACTCATGGTTTATCCTAAATGTCCCTGGTCGGTCATCTATGTGGGAGCAAAGATGAAATAAGACCAGTATGACTTTAAATTATATGGAGATATAAATTAAAGTCATAGGCACATGTAAGAGTACAAGGTGTTGGACCGACCCGCTATGAGAGAGCTGCATGGGTTAAGTCATAAGCTTCTCTCATATACAAACCATGTCACTGTGCCCTTTGACCTGAGATCATCATGGATTCATACATGAGAAACGCTTAGCTTTGACCTAGTCAAAAGTCACTTTTGACCAAGTGATCATAAAGACTATGTTCAGGCTTAGTGGTTTTTCATGCGTAGGAATGTGAATGGTCAAGATGGAATTTGTCCCTCACATTCATAGAGAGACATTACTGGGCCCCTCGATGAGTGAGTCTGAGAAATGTATGGCCATACTATAATGGAAAGGTAGTTCCATTTCTATACTCAGACTACTCAGGGATCGAGAAAGTAACGGTCATGGATAGGAGGATGATGTTCTCCATGCCTCATCCATGACCAAAATGTCGTGAGACAAAAGGGACGTGATATGGTTGTATGAAAGGTTGCATCGTTCAATGATCCTCATATGATTTGGGTAGTCGTGATGTCTTGCTAGAGACCGCTTACGACTTGTGGGTCATTATAGTTAATGGCCCACTGCCAACTTCATATGGGCCTACAGGGTCGCACACAAAATAGCCCGACACGAGTTATGATGTCCAGATTCATTGAATCTAAGATATGTCCAGATTCAATGAATAATATAGGGTGGACGTGTGTATATATATAATATAAATTCGTATATATATATATAATATAAAGGATATTAATTATTAGATTTAATTTATAAGGATAAATTAAATATATACAAATTAATTCCGTCATCTCTTTATTAAATAAATAGGAGAATTAAATCTGTGAGATGGATTTAATTTAAAACCATATTTATTTAATTGTTCTCTTATCTGATTAGGCAATATTTGATATTGTATTAATTTCGGAATTAATTTAGAGTTAATTTCGAAATTAAATATTATTAATTAAACCTATATAGCATCCTATATATTTGATATGAGGAGCTAGGGTTTAACTAAGAGAGAACCAACACCTAAGAGACGGCAAAGAGAGGAGAGAGGACGGATTCCTAAAACCCTAGACGGACAGAGGCGCTGGCACGCCGTTCGAGGTTGAGGGCTACTCGTGTGGATACCGGTAGAGGAAGCCGACCGGAGTTGTCGACTTCGAACGACACAGGAGGCGAGCAGAGAGCATCCTGAACGGCCGAATCATCAAGTCACCAGGGAATCGAACGCCTAAAGGTAATGCTTCTTACTACCTGACTTAAACGCGAACGGTAGATCCGGAAAGGGATTGAAAGTTTTAAAATTTTTCCGCTGCGCGTCGTCTTTCAATTCCCTACAAATAATAGTAGTGGCTATGTTTATGTTTGTGAGAATGAGAAAGACTTCACACAAGTGTCACAGCTGGACAGTGTACAAGAGTAAGTTGTTCTCAACTGGTTTTATTAAGATTGTGTGTAGGATAAGAAAGAATATGTCCAATTTTGATAAATTGAACTGTAATACTGAATAGCTGTATTTTTTTATGCAGGTTAGATGATTTGGTTGGTACTTATGGAATGTCAGTATCTGTAATTGAATTGGATCTAGACACAGACAGCATAAACATATCTTCCGTACAAGATGTACCAACACTGATAGGAAGTGTAGGTATGGAAACATTGCCAACCCCAATAGCGGTGATGAATTCATCAAAGTGGGGAGATTTGTTGATGTCAAGAGGGCAAACCTTTGTTAGTGCTGAACATTTTAGAGAAGCATTATATAAGTATAGCCTTGCACACAAGTTTGGTTACCGGTACGTAAAGAATGATAGGCATAAGATGATTGTGAAGTGCTGTGTAGATGGTTGTCGCTGGGAAATTTTAGCATATGGTGTAGGTGAGAATAATGGA